GAAGAAGAAAATGCAGCTATTCATGTTGCAATTGTGAATAAACATTGGGAGAAAAAAAAACATTTCTACTACGCATTTTCAGAAAATTCAGGGCTATCCCACTCTTAACTGCAATTGGGGAAAAAAATTATCTATAAATCTTCTGAGATGGGACGGTATTTCCAAATGATTTTACCAAAAGAGATCAGGAATGGATCGTCCATATGCGGGAATGTATTAAATTTTTTTCCCCTCCTGAAGAAGTTTTAACTTTTATTTTATTCTAGTTAATTTTATTTCAAGGGACCCGGAAATATAAACTCTGATTTAATACTGAGAGTTGGGCTGAGTTCTGACACTGTGTAATAACCCTTTTCTCTCTTTCTCCTCTCAAGCTGCAGGGCTGATGCATACGTTCAATGCTCACGCAGCCACGGACATCACAGGCTTTGGAATCCTGGGACATGCACAGAATCTAGCCAAGCAGCAACGTAACGAAGTGTCTTTCGTTATCCATAATCTCCCTGTCCTTGCCAAAATGGCCGCAGTTAGCAAAGCTTGTGGGAATATGTTCGGTCTTATGCATGGGACTTGTCCAGAGACATCAGGTAAAAGAATTTTGTAAAAAAATCAGTAATAATAACAATAACAAAATAATAATAATAAATTAATAATAATAATAATAATAATAATAATAATAATAATAATAATAATAATAATAATAATAATAATAATAATAATAATAGTTGGAAGGGACCTTGGAGGTCATCTAGTCCAACCCCCTGCTCAGGCAGGAAACCCTATACCATTTCAGACAAATGGCTGTCCAGTCTCTTCTTAAAAACTTCTGTGTTGGAGCATTCACAACTTCTGGAGGCAGGTTGTTCCACTGGTTAATTGTTCTCACTGTCAGGAAGTTTCTCCTTAGTTCTAGGTTGCTTCTCTCCTTGATTAGTCTCCATCTGTTGCTTCTTGTCCTGCCTTTAAGGTGCTTTGGAGAATAGCTTGACTCCCTCTTCTTTGGGGCAGCCCCTGAGATACTGGAACACTGCTATCATGTCCCCCCTCATCCTTTTAAACTAGACATTCCCAATTCCAGCAACCGTTCCTTATATGTTTTAGCCTCCAGTCCCCTGATCATCTTTGTTGCTCTTCTCTGTACTCTTTCTAGAGTCTCAGCATCTTTTTTACATCGTGGTGACCAAAACTGGATGCAGTATTCCAAGTGTGCCCTTACCAAGGCATTGTAAAGTGGTATTAACACTTCACGTGATCTTGAGTCTCTCCCTCTGTTAATGCAGCCCAGCACTGTGTTGGCCTTTTTTGGCAGCTGCAGCACATGGCTGGCTCACATTTTCTCTCCCTCCTTTCCGCTACGCCAGGTTTCTCAACCTTAGCCACTTTAAGACGGGTGGACTTCAACTCCCAGAATTCCCCAGCGTGGTCTAATAACCCTGGCCCTTAATCTCTCTCCAATAGGAACCCAGTCCTCTTCTGGGGAAGAGTATGAATCGGCTGTCTCATCTTCCACAATAGGAAATTGGATCTATCTCCTCGCTAGATGCAGATCCTGGGGAGATCACACCTCTCCTTGAAATAGATAGCACCCATGGCAATTCCAGCCATCATACCAACTGCCCCAGCATTCCCTCTTCAGAATGCACAGCCATGCCAGCCCTCATATGGTGCTTTGTAGCTTCCTAAATATGGTCAAAGATGAAAAGGAATAAAATGTCTAGGCAGCTCGCAAAGAAAAACACTCCTCATTCTGTTACCACGTGGGTTTCACTTCCTTGGCATATTGGTTCAGTAACAAAAGTCCGGGCAGAGACCTCAATCTATCTGTGCAACTAAAATAGAGAACCTACCATACATTAAAGAAATGTGAGCATGACTCCTAGGCCTGTGATGGCGAGCCTTTTAGACACCGAGTGCCCAGACTGCAACCCAAAACCCACTTACGCATCGTCAGATACTGGCTGTGTGTGGCCCATTGGGTGGACGTGGCCCATTGGGTGGGCATGGCTGCGGTGGTAACGGCAGACTGGGTGGGACCAAAAAGTTCAATCAATCAATTCCAACTTTGCAAGATCTTTTTTTTTTCCCCGCGAGAAGTTGAAATTGACTGATTGAACCTTTTTTTTTTTTTGTACACGGCGGCGGAGGCCTAAAGCGAAAAGGTTTTATAAAACCCAGCTGAAGGCCTTAGGACTGGGCCGACGGCGCATGTGCCCACAGAGAGGGCTCCGAGTGCCGCCTCTGGCACCCGTGCCATAGGTTCGCCACCACGGTCCTAGGCCATCTGTTTGGTGATAAAAAAGTTTTTTAAAAAATGTCCAGATTTTCTTTGCAAATACTTCTCACAATTGATACTGGGGATGACGTAAAAATAAATGCATAAAAACGAACCGTACGCCGTCCAGAATGCCAGTGAAATGTCAGAGCTTCCAGTGCCTTTTGTGTGTATAGTTCAGCCTGTGATTCTTACCAGCTGGAATAATAATCAGTGCTTCCTTATCAAACTCACAGCAATTTCGTTCCTGGCCACTCTTGTTTGTTCCAATGCTAGAGTTTAATATTTATTAATCAAATTTACACAGCGAAGCCGATTTGTTGTTCTCCGTTGTGTGAAAAATACTTCTACGGGGGAAAAAATAATCACCTTTCAGATCAACTGAATTTTCATAGTGGAAGGTACTATGTGCAAGCCTCTTTGTCCTGTTAGAAATAGAAGACTTATGAAAGAAAATGTGTGCAACACATTATCTCAGGATGTCCGTGCCACATTGTAGCCATTGTGCTGCCACATTGTAGCCATTGTGCTGCTTACATTGTGCTGTAAGCCGCCCTGAGTCCTCCGGGAGAAGGGCGGGGTATAAATATAATAAATCAAATCAAATAAATCAAATCAAAAAAAAAAAAAAGGTTCCTTAGAGATTTGCATAAATGGCCAGTGGATGGCGCTGTTTCTCCAGATAGTTAACTGTTTCTCAACCTCGACAATTTTAAGACATGTGGACTTCAACTCCCAGAATTCCACAGCCAGCATTGCTGGCTGTGGAATTCTGGGAGTTGAAGTCCACATGCCTTAAAATTGTCGAGGTTGAGAAACACTGAGCTAGACTGTATTGGAAAGCTGTGCTGAAGAAATTCACGTTTCATAGATGTGGACTTGGCTATGTACACACGAGAAGCAATGTTGTGCAAGTCGGAAATTCTGCTGCGCAAAACACATTCCTAGTTGTTTGTTGCCTTTTCTCAGACTGCGTATTACAATCTCTCTGCATTTTAAGCTGTAATAGTTGATTGTCCACACTTCAGAACGATCCATGATAGTTTATATTCCTTTGAATTGGGTGCTTATTGGATGAATAGGCATTGCCATTAAATATTTCAATTATAAATTTAAATTGCATTAAATTTAATAATAACAACAGCAATAATAACAACAGCAATAATAATAATAATAATAAAGTTGGAAGGTACCTTGGAGGTCATCTAGTCCAACCCCCTGCTCAGGCAGGAAACCCTACACCATTTCAGACAAATGGCTGTCCAGTCTCTTCTTAAAAACTTCCAGTGTTGGAGCATTCACTGCTCGTGGAGGCAGGTTGTTCCACTGGTTAATTGTTCTAACTGTCAGGAAGTTTCTCCTTAGTTCCAGGTTGCTTCTCTCTTTGAATTAGTTTCCATCCGTTGCTTCTTGTCCTGCCTTCAGGTGCTTTGGAGAATAGCTTGACTCCCTCTTCTTTGTGGCAGCCCCTGACATACTGGAACGCTGCTATCATGTCCCCCCTCGTCCTTCTCTTCATTAAACTAGACATACCCAATTCCAGCAACCGTTCCTTGTATGTTCTAGTCTCCAGTCCCCTGATCATCTTTGTTGCTCTTCTCTGCACTCTTTCTAGAGCAGACATGTCAAACTCGTGACGTCACGCGACATATCGGAGTTTTTTCCCCATTGCCGGCAATGGTGAAGGCGCAGTTTCCTGGTGACGCGTCCGGCCTGTGGCCGGCAGTTTGACACCTCTGTTCTAGAGTCTCAACATCTTTTTTACATCATGGTGACCAAAACTGATTGCAGGATTCCAGGTGTGGCCTCACCAAGGCCTTGTAAAGTGGTATTAACACTTCACGTGATCTTGAGTCTATTATCCCTCTGTTATGAGTAATTGGCATTAAAATATACCATAGGCCGTTTTCTACCTACCTTTCTGATGGGGTTTGGATTCCATACCACTCAACTTAGTGACTTTCCTCAAGATTTTCTCCAATTTGTCACTGTCCTTTTCAAAATGTTAACGCACACAACCCAATTTAGTACCGCAAATAGGATTTGATCAGGGAGAAATAGAATGAAACAATTGTTTAAAATGATTTGGACTGTATGCTGTATTAATCCATCCCAGTGCAGCATTTGTCTTTTTGCCAGCTACTTTGACCTAGTGGCTCACTTTATATTTTTCCCCTGTTCCCTTTCATCCCCTGATTTTCATCTCACTACCTAAAGGCCCTGTCTAGATTTTTTTTTTTAAATTTCCTGTCTTCTCCTGCAAAATATCAGCCATTTCTCCCAGCTTTGTGTCATCTGCAGACCTGACCCAAGCCACTGATAAAATATGTTGGAATTGCACCATTCGGAATTTGTCTCCAGGCTGCAGTGAAGCCGTTAAAAGAGAGTACTCCTGGATGTGGCTGTTTGCCCCGTGGACCCATCTGAAAGGAGCATTTCACTCAAGCGCTTGTTGTTTTGTTAAGGAGAATATTGTGCAAAAGGCTGGGCTGAAATCCAGCTGCAAAGAGTTTGTGGAAACTGTCTTGGAAACAGTCGTTTGGATTAAGGCAGGAAAAAAAACCACCGTCCTAATTTCTACCCCTGCCAAACAAGTTTAATCAATATTGGAATTGATCCCTCTGGTTCTAATGTCAGTAATTTTGTTTTATATTGTCTAGGGGATGGCTCCTCCTATATTACTTCTCAGGTTTCTAAATTTCTTTTAAGAGCTGTAACTATTAGAGGAGAACGTTGTAATTCCCTTTAGCCAAGGCTTCTGGTGCTTAATTGTTTGTGATTATATTTTTCTTGTGTTTTCTTTTGTTGCTCTTGCATTTTGGTCTGTGACCGCAAAATAATAAAAAAAATTATAAGTTTAATCAGTAGATAACAGTTAAAAGTTTGAGCAAGCAAGGCAGCCATTTTATAATAATAATAATGATAATAATGATAATGATAAAGTTGGAAGGGGTCTTGGAGGTCATCTAGTCCAACCCCCTGCTCAGGCAGGAAACCCTATACCATTTCGGACAAATGGCTGTCCAGTCTCTTCTTAAAAACTTCCAGTGTTGGAGCATTCACTGCTTCTGGAGGCAGGTTGTTCCATTGGTTAATTGTTCTCACTGTCAGGAAGTTTCTCCTTAGTTCTAGGTTGCTTCTCTCCTTGGTTAGTTTCCACCCGTTGCTTCTTGTCCTGCCTTCAGGTGCTTTGGAGAATAGCTTGACTCCCTCTTCTTTGGGGCAGCCCCTGAGATATTGGAACACTGCTATCATGTCCCCCCTCGTCCTTCTCTTCATTAAACTAGACATACCCAATTCCAGCAGCCGTTCATTATATGTTTTATCCTCCAGTTCCCTAATCATCTTTGTTGCTCTTCTCTGTACTCTTTCTAGAGTCTCAACATCTTTTTTTACATTTTGATTTGTCCCGCGAGTAAGCGCTAATGCCCTTCCTTCTCCCTTGCAGGAGGCCTCCTCATCTGCTTACCCCGTGAACAAGCAGCCCGCTTCTGCGCTGAGATCAAGTCTCCCAAATACGGCGAAGGTCATCAAGCATGGATTATTGGGATTGTAGAAAAGGGAAACCGCACGGCCAGAATTATAGACAAACCTCGAATCATCGAAGTCGCGCCCCAAGTAGCCACTCAGAACGTAAACCCGACACCCGGGGCAGCTTCTTAATCCTAGATGAAATAGTTTATTTTTTTATTTTTATTTTTTGTTTCCTTTTTGTTTTGTTTCTTTTTTTAAAAAAAATAGATCTATTTCCTTTATCATCTTTACAGCCTAAAGAACTGTATTAAAGAGAAGAAACACATTGTGTCTGCAAAACTGGTGGCCTTAGGTCGGTTGAAGCGAATGAATTTAACCCCTTGCCTTCCCCTCCCTTTTTTTTTTTCCCTTTCCCTGTTACATGAACTGAAGAGGCACCTAACTTCGAGGCAGCTTCTGAGTTGAGAATTATATTGTTATCCAATACTGTTGATTCATTTTGAATCTTTAGACACTTATCTCTCGCCGCACGGGCTCTTTTTAAAAAGGTGCTTTCACGTAGCGCAAGGCATTGCCGACAGTGGTATCCAATGCAGTTTGTATCCTTTTTTTTTTTTTTTAAACGATTTTAATTTTAATTTTTTTTTTTTTGCTATGTGTATATTTATCATTAGCTCTAATTTCGGATGCCTTGAATGAAATTCCAAAAGGCAATAAATTTTGATAATGCACACGGAGCTTAAACCCGGAAGCAAAAGAGGGTTGACACGTCTACCTGTGTTCCGTCTTTTTCATTTATACGACTTAACGTCTTTCTCCGTGAAAATCGGCGGCCTTGGACTTAACGGTAGCTGGGTAGTGACGGAGACACGCAAGTGCTGCCTTTGCACGGAGAGCACCCTCAAGAGTTTGAAGGAAAGGAGTCAATTTTGTTCTCTGTAGCTCAGACAAGGTTTACTTTGTGTGACCGATAACCATTTCCTTTTTTTATGGATGGTATAAACGGTATAAATCAGTTTTCAGCGGGACGGGGCTGTGCTGCGGAGCGGAAAAAAAAATATTGCCAACTGACGGGAGGGTATTCTGTAATCATTTACAACTCACTATATAATTACACAAATAATTTTAAAAATATAACCATTTTTTTTTTAAAAAAAAACCCTGTTCTGTGGATGGTAGTGTTTAATACATTTTATATTTTGTATAGTGATTATCATATATATTTTTTTTGCTTTTCTTAAAATCAGCAGCTGTCTAGTAAGATGCTTAGTATTTTTTTGTTTTGTTTTCTGTTCAGCATACATTCTTGTGCACGCTTTTGTGATTGTGTATAAAATCTACGTTGCCAACTTTGCAGCCTGAACCTTAAGCTTATTATTTGAATAAATATTTAATTTTTTATTGCTCTGGTGCAAGTGGATGACTTTTTTTAACTTTTTTTATGCCTAAGCTACTGGGAAGTGAGAACAAAGCTTTTAAGTTGGGCTGTTACCTTTAAATGAACTAACACTAAGTTTAAAAAGGTTTATTTTGCATCTGAAGCAATATAGTGTTTAATTCCCAGTATCACAATGTAAAATGTGACTATTCTAACATCATAACAGGTCATACAAATACCTCTTCCTGCTGACAATTGCACATATACCTGTATCCTAATCTGGTTGGGTTTTCTGTATAAAAATGTCTTTTAAAAAAAAGATTGTTAACAGGCAACTTTGCGATAAGAATCTTTCCTTGTGTTTATAGTTTTTAAAAAGAACGAATGGCTACGCTTAAAAACAATCTGAAATATATAAATTATTTATTCTGAAAGATCCCATACATACCACGGGCCTTTCTGAGCGAAGACAACTACTTGTGTTCTTCGGTGGGTGGATTTTACCTTTTTCATTTTTGGGGGGTATGCAATAATTCAGTAGGCACTCTTGCACATTGTGAACTTGTTCTTAAATTGTGATTTTATAATTTTTAAAACACAAAAGGTTTCATGTGTGACGGTGTCCCTATTTAGAAAAAATAGCAGCAATGTATATGGAAAGTTCCTATGTACTCTGGTTCATACTTTGTATTTCTCCTCTTGAGAATACATAATTATTGAAACTCGTACTATTCCTACATGTAGGAAATCAATACAAATGGAAGCGAATATTTGAAGCTCAGGGTTGAACTGGGGGGGGAAGGGGGGCCCCTTGGTGCTGTCTAAGCTTCAACTATTTTCTTGCAGACGTTTAATTACCCAACTAGGTAACAGCAGCAGAACTAGAAGGGAGTGGGGTTTGCTGTCTTTTTTTATAGAAGTGGTTTGCCCCGTCAATGCTGGCAGGGGGTTGGACTAGATGACCTCCCAAGGCCCCTTCCAACTTTATTATTATTATAGGAGTGCTTCTTGGCAATTCTTTGATAGGGCTGTTGTGTACTACAACAGCCCAACATCAGGAAAAGGAAACGGATCAGCTAATCAACATCTTCCACAAAATACCCACACAACTTTATCAAAGGTGCCTCAACCCATTACCAATACAACCAACACAAGTTGTGAGAATGATAACGCTGCCATATATTGAAAACATCTCAGAAACAACAATAGTTCCACCATATGTAGCATACAAACCAACTACATTAATGTTTGCAAGAAAGCAAGCAAGCTCAGAGAGCATCAAGGACCCCTCAAATCAATGCAAAATGACTCAGAATAGTTTAGATGGCTTGTTAAATCTCTTGATAATCAACTTCCTCTGTACATTTACATTTTTTAGATAATGGTCAAAAGGTGTTACTCTCAAGAAATCCTTTGATTTATAATTAGCAGTGGCTGTTGAGTAATTTCTGGGTGGCAAATGAATTTTAGCGAATCCCATATGGCAAATACCTGCTTGGTGATAGAAGTTCAATTGTAGGAAATTTAATTGTTTTATAGCATACAGTGGGCGGTTAAAGATAAAGAGCAGATTTTGCCAAAATTATTTGGCATGCAAGTCTTCAAGTCACCTTATTTTTTTCACTGTACTTTTTTTTTAATTATCCAGAAAGAGCCATTTCATACAAGCAATTTTTTAAAAGTATAATGTTTGTGTCTTTTGCAGAAAATGCAGTGGAATAAATTACCAATTCAGTGATAATAGAATCTGACTTCTGTAGCTGAATGGTTTATTGATTGATTGAGAAAAATGTCATTTATTCTCCAGAAAGGCTTACCAACCCCAAAATACATCAAGGGATTTTCTTACAACGTAATTCTTTGGTTTTTGATTCTGCTAGACGTTGCAACAGAGACAGCAAAATGCAACACTTTGTTCCGCATAGTTATTTTAGCTACCACATTTATATACAACCCACTCCCTTCATGTTTCTGGGCATCTTTTAAAAATACCCCTAAAAACAATAATAGTTTGTATTGGTGCATATACAGTGGTGCTTAAATTAATGAACCCTTTTGAATGTTCAACATTTCTGCATAAATATGACTTAAAGTGTGATCTGTTCTTCACACAAGACCTAAAATTCAGAAACCCAATTAAACAAGTGAATCAAAAAGATACATTCATTTACTTGTGGAGGAAAATGATCCCAAACTACATATTTTTTGTAGTTTGTACATTTCTTGTAAAGGCCAAACAAATTTCCAAAGTCTAGAGAAGGAACTCAACAGGGTTTTTGGAAATAACAGGCATGAGGCTACTTGAGGCTGTCTCCAGGACTCGAAGGAAAATACAACACTAAAACAGTTATTAAATTCTATTTCTGAAATGTTTAAAACTTCACCAAGTTGGACAAATTCTGAGTCAACGTTCAATATTTGGACCTCAGATATAAGGGCCAAAATACCTTTTGAAATCAGTGAATCCATTTTCAAGGTGTAAGTATTTTCATTTAGATATTACTGAAATTTAGAAGACAGGTTTGGTAGAATTGCAACCTATGTTAATGTAAACCTAGAATTAAATTAGCTTCCCTAGTCTAGATGAGTCAAATTTCAGCTTCCAAAATTCTTAGCTAGCAAGGCTAAAGGGGATGTAGAATTGGGTCTAAGATAATTTGAAAGCAAGTAGTTTGAAAATGACAACAGTTCTGCCAATTTTCTTGATTAATGGCTTACTTTATTTTTAGTTTGTTTTTATGTTTTTGTGGCTTTTATACTGCAATGTTACTAGCATCTTAAAATCTAGCTGGTTGATTACTGCACAAATATTAGCAGATTATAATCTGTGTTATACATGGATACTCGCCCAGAGAAAGGGGTTATTTTAAGACAAGTACACTTCATAAACAATCTGTACTTTGGCTATATTGATTGACCTGGGTAAATGATTTACATTTAGAGGACGGGAGTTGCATTTATTTAGCATTTATTTGCAATGTTTAAATTATCTTTACTCCTTGGATGATGGATATTTACAGTACTGGTCCAACTTGTGGAAAGCTTTTGGGAAAAGTGTACAGTAAAAATGCCACTTTTGGTTTAAGTTTCCACCAATTTTTCTTCTAATTTCTTTATAACTGTAGCCTTGTTCACTTAATAATACTATTTTACGTCACTTTCTGGGCAATCACTGCAGGGGTTAAATTGGTTNTTGGTTGTTAAGTGAATCCAGCTTCCCCACCGACTTTGTTTGTCCGAAGGCCACAAAAGGGGATCACATGATCCTGGGACACTGCGATCGTCATAAATGCCAGTTGTCAATCATCTGAATGTAAATCATGTGACTCTGGGGATGCTGCAATGATCATAAGTGTGAAAAACGGTCCCTTTTTGTACAGTAGTGGCCAAAACTGTGGAAACCTTTTGGGAAAAAGTGTATTTTTGAGGTTGGATGGCTAATAACACCACTTTCCTTTGGAGTAGTACCATAAAGTTATATATCAATGGAAAGATAATTTAATCAAGAATGTAATGCAACAAAGTATGTTCAATTATCTGTATTCTATGAAACGTTATAGCCAAATAACCAGAAACAGGAAGCACAACTTGCTTAGGTTGGTATCAGGTAGCTTTCCTTCATCTGATTGTAGCCAATGAGCATGAGTGTTTAGAGAGCCAATCAGGTGTCATCTTGTTTTGGCCATGAGCCAATCAGATCACAGTAGGATTCAGTGATTTATGTCACTGAAGCTGAGAGGAGGACATGTGTCAGTGTGATATGTGATCACTATCAAGTTGGTTGGGTTTTTTTGTGTTCTTTCATTTAGTGAGCTTGCAAAATGTAATAAAATTGAAGTCATGGCGCAAAGAGTTGACTGGTCGCCCAGAAAGCGATGTGAAATAGTATTATTAAGTGAACAAGGCTACAGTTATAAAGAAATTAGAAGAAAAATTGGTGGAAACTTAACCAAAGGTGGCATTTCTACTGTACACTTTTCCCAAAAGGTTTCCACCATTTTGGCCACTCCTCTAACTTCAAACAGTCATTAAATGAACTGTTGTAAATCGTAGACTAGCTGTTAATTGCTTCTGTCTGAATCTTTGGCCGTGTTTTCCAAACTGCAAAAACCTGGTTGCTCTGAAGAAGACAGTCCTGCATTCTTGGTATTGAGCTTCATTTGCCTTCTACAGTAGTGGATGAAACTATGGTTAAGTCTATCCATGTGTTGTGCAATTAAAGAGTCTTTTGACTGCTAGTTGGCATTCATGGATGCACTCTGCTTGTCTTTTCCTAGCTGTGGACTTCTGGGAGTTGAAGTCCACACGTTAAAATTGCCAAGGTTGAGAAAGACGGTTATAGAGGTAACAATATATCTAACTCTCTAAGGCTGCCATCAAACAAAGCATCCATAATCTCAGTTCTAGATTAGACTAGATCTAGACTAGACTATAGAATAGAATAGAATGGAATGGAATGGAATAGAATACAATACAATACAATACAATACAATACAAAACAAAACAATACAATGGAATACAATAGATTGGAATTTATTGGCCAAGTGCAGGGGCAGGCAACCAGTGCAGAAATTCTCAGTGTATATACAAGCAACAAGTGATAAATCATGATGAAAAGACAAATTATTATAAATCATAAGATGCAACACTCTGAGAGGAGGATATTTGTCAGTTCTAGATTAGACTAGATCTAGATTAGACTAGACTATACTGTAGGATAAGAATAGAGTAGAGTAGAGTAGAATAGAATAGAATAGAACAGAATACAATACAAAACAATACAATACAATACAATACAATTTATTGGCCGAGTGTAATTGGATACACAAGGAATTTGACTCCGGTGCAGAAATTCTCACTGTACATACAAGCAACGAGTGATAAATCGTGATGATGAAATGGCAAATCATCATAAATCGTAAGATGCAACACTCTCCTAAAAGTCCCTTCTACAACGCGTATTCTCCGCTCAGGGAAACTTTGCACCTTGCAAACCCAAGTGAACTTCGTGCCCAAGCCTCCCTTTGCTCCGAATTCACATCGCTTTGTTCCTTTCCAGCCGGGCGAGCGCGCGGGGAAGGGCGCAGCGACCGCGCGTCTTTGCCGAGCGCCCGGCCTCTCGGGCCGCCCCTGGCCGTCGACGCCGCCCCCCGGATCAGCTGGGCTGGCCGCCTGCCTTCTCCGCCCCCTTCCCGACTACACCCTACCCCGACTAGCGGCTTCCAAGAGTCGAAGCGGCGGGACTGAGCGACGGAAGCGCCCGGTTGGCATGCTCGCTGCCTGCTCGCCAAGGACGCGCGCCATGGAGAGCCTAGCGAACCAACCCAGCGCGCCCTTCCGCCTGGGGATTTTGCTCCGGCACCTGGTTCCCCACGCCGGATTCGTATCCTTCGCTTGCCCACTTGGGCCTCTTGGTCGCCTTTCCCGGTACTTTGCACCTTCCGGGCCCCTGGACTGGCAAACCCCCACGATTTGGAGCTGGCAGCGTGGAGATGAAAGCTCAACCGGTTGGAGAAGGACTAAGGGGTCCTGGGTGCTCTCTGAGCTTGTTATTTTCTTGCAGACGTTTCATTACCCAAACTAGGGAACATCATCAGTGTTAGAAGGTATTGGGGCGGGGAGGGAGAGAGAGAGGAGGACGGGGAGGACAGTGGGGTCCTTGGTGCTCTCTGAGCTCCGTGTTTTTCTTGCAGACCTTTCACTACCCAACTAGGTATCATCATCAGTGATCGGAGGGAGAGGGATGTGTGGAGAAGAGGAAGAGGATTGTGGGGTCCTTGGTGCTCTCTGAGCTTGAGGGTTTTCTTGCAGACATTTCATGACCCAAACTAGTTAACCTCATCAGTGTTAGGAGGGATAGGTGTTTCTTTCTAGCACTGATGACGTTACCCAGTTTGGTAATGAAACGTCTGCAAGAAAACAACCAACTTGGAGCTACAAGTATTCTCCTTTATTGAAGGAAGATTTTCTGACCCCCTTCCTGGTGAGGGACCCCAAAGTCCATCGGCCTGGGCTTCCTTTGGGGTCAAGCAGTGGAAGAGGATTAGGCATCATCCCGGCACAGGGTTGATCTACTTAGATTGTTGTCTCTGGCAGCTGGGTCTCAGCCTGGAGAGGCATCAAGCCAACTTCTGGGTTGGCCAAAGGGGGGGGGGTCCCTATCTGGGCACCCCAATTCTGAAATTTAGTCTGAGGAGAACGCAGCTTCCAGTGCAAAGAGGCCGGGACCAAGGCCTTCTATGCTATGGGTGAGAAACTTTAAGAGTTAGGAGGAGATCTGAAGTATGTTTAATTAAAACTAAGCTCCCAAACTAATTCAGGTTAATGTGCACTAAACGTCCTCGGTTGTTTACTTCCTTCCTTTGATGTTTCTATTTTATATTTTCTTATGTGGGAAGGAAATGTTCCGCTTGAGCAACAAACAAACAAAAAAAAAGGAACATTTTCAGCACCTTCTATATCCATCAGCTTTTAAATTTCAAGCTGGTCCCAGCTATAAGATAATTTGGGAAACAATTTAAATGGGAAGATTCTATATTGTATTTAATTTCCTTCTCCTTTATGAGAGCAACTCCTATGATTATAAATGCGTTCCGAATGTATTTCCCACGGGGTCTTCCACCAAAGCAGTCTTTTAAAATTTTCTTAATTTGACGCCAAGACACCATTTCCTACTTCAGCCCAAATTGCTCCTGCGACATGCCTAACGCAGTTCCGGTAAGTAGAACTTTGCTCTGATGATGAAAACACAGATTTAAAGGTCTGTTTAATTTGGGGTCCTTCCTGTATTTAGCGATATGTTTATGTGTGGTTCAGCAGTTTTGATTTTGGTTTGTAAAGTTAATTATTTACCTTAAACTGATCTTTCTGTTTGGTAAGCGCGTTAGGGTTGATCCAGCTTCATTTTTTTGGGAATCCTGTATGTTGTCAGAGAATAAGGTGCCACTTAACGTCCCGGTAACATTTATAGTAGTGGCCAAAATTGTGGAAACCTTTTGGGAAAAGTGTATTTTTGAGGTTGGATGGCTAATAACACCACTCTTTTTGGAGTAGTACCATAAAATTATATATCAATGGAAAGATAATTTAATCAAGAATGTAATGCAACAAAGTTGGTTCAATTATCTGTACTGTATTCTATGAAAGGTTATAGCCAAATAACCAGAAAAAGGAAGCACAACTTGCTCAGGTTGATATCAGGTAGCTTTCCTTCATCTGATTGTAACCCATGAGCATGAGTACTTAGAGAGCCAATCAGGTGTCATCTTGTTTTGGCCATGAGCCAATCAGAACACAGTAGGATTCAGTGATTGATGTCATGTATTGAAGCTGAGAGGAGGACATTTGTCATTGTGTTATGTAATGGCTAACAGGTTGGTTGGGTTTTTTGGTGTTCTTTCATTTAGTGAGCTTGTAAAATGTAATAAAATTAAATTAGGCTGTTGTTTATTGAGGTGGTAGCTCCTCAAGTGGGTATTGTTTGCTAATTGACAGTCTAGTACAGGGGTAGTCAACCTTGGCTCTTTTATGACTCGTGGACTTCAACTCCCAGAATTCCTGAGCCAGCATGGCTCAGCTTGGAAACCTCTCCATTTCTCCTCAGCATGGCTGGCTCAGGAATTCTGGGAGTTGAAGTCCACGAGTCATAAAAGAGCCAAGGTTGACTACCCCTGGTCTAGTATAAATCTTGGTATTAATCTCTGCTCATCTGGGTGTTGATTGCTGGCAAGAAGCGGTTTTGATCTTTTTGCTTCCGTTTTGGCTTTTTGGTTCCCTCTTTTGAATTGTATATAGATGTTATTTATCTCTGTATGCTTGTTGATGGCTGTTGTGTCTTATGCCAGGTTTCCAGGAATTTTCTAGCTTTTTTTAAGACTTAGCTTGGTTCAGGATGCTCACAGTTTCCCTGATGAAACTATGGTTAAGCCTATCCATGTGTTGTGCAATTAAAGTCTTTTGACTGCTAGTTGGCATTCATGGATGCACTCTGCTTGTCTTTTGCTAGCTGGGGACTTCTGGGAGTTGAAGTCCACACGTTAAAATTGCCAAGGTTGAGAAAGACGGTTTTAGAGATAACAATATATCTAACTCTCTAAGGTTGCCATCAAACAAAGCATCCATAATCTCAGTTCTAGATTAGACTAGACTAGACTAGACTAGACTAGACTAGACTAGACTAGACTACAATACAATACAATACAATACAATACAATACAATACAATACAATACAATACAATACAATACAATAGATTAGAATTTATTGGCCAAGTGCAGGGGCAGGCAACCAGTGCAGAAATTCTCTGTACATACAAACAACAAGTGATAAATCATGATGATGAAAAGACAAATTATCATAAATCATAAGATGCAACACTCTGAGAGGAGGATATTTGTCAGTGTGTTATGTAATCACTATCAAGTTGGTTGGGTTTTTTTGTGTTCTTTCATTTAGTGAGCTTGCAAAATGTAATAAAATTAAAGTCATGGTGCAAAGAGTTGACTGGTTGCCCAGCAAGCGATGTAAAATAGTATTATGAAGTGAACAAGTCTACAGTTATAAAGAAACTAGAAGAAAAATGGGTGGAAACTTAACCAAAGGTGGCATTTCTACTGTACACTTTTCCCAAAAGGTTTCCACAATTTTGGTCACTACTGTAGAAGGCAAATGCAGCTCAATACCAAGAATGCAGGACTGTCTTCTTCGGAGCAAGCAGGTTTTTGCAGTTTGGAAAACACGGCCAAAGATTCAGACAGAAGCAATTACAGCTAATCCATGATTTACAACAGTTCATTTAACGACCGTTTGAAGTTACAAAAGGGGACCGTTTTTCACACTTATGACCATTGCAGCATCCCCAGAGTCACGTGATTTACATTTGGACGCTTGACAACTGACACATTTATTTTTATTTTTTTTTAACAAATATTTTATTGAGTTTGCTAAGGGTAACAAGGGAATAGGGTCAACAGAGATAGAACAAAGGGAGACATACAAAAGGGTTAAACCAAAGGAAGGGGGTAAACACAAAAGTGGGATCAATCCCACAAAATAACATCGCTTCAGCAATACCGTCCGGGTATACATATTAAATCTTAATAATTACTCTAGTATTAAACAGCTTTCAATATAATCATGTAAATAACAAGTTAATCAATATATCTCATTCATTTTACTAATTAACAATGCTTAATACGAATTAGTTGTAACAACTGACTCACATTTATGACGGGGGGCAGTGTCCCAGGATCATGTGATCCCCTTTTGCGACCTTCCGACAAGCAAAGTCAATGGGGGAAGCCGGATTCACTTAACAACCAATTTAACCCTTGCAGCGATTCACTTAACAGCTGTGGTAAGAAAATGGGGCAGAACTCACTTAACAAATTTCTCACTTAGCAACATAAAATCGGCTCAATTTTGGTCGTGAGTCAAGGACTACCTGTAGTGGCTCTCCCTCTATCACAGGTGTCTTCAAGCTTGGCCCTTTTATGACTTGTGGACTTGTGGCATGCTGGCTGAGGAATTCTGGGAGTTGAAGTCCGCAAGTCATAAAAGGGCCAAGTTTGAAGACCTCCTGCTCTTATCATTTCCCTTGTCCTCTTTTTGGACCTCAGTTTCATGTTTCAGCGTTTTGATCTAAAGATCTTGTTTTAGGATTTAATGTGTCTTAGTTTTCAAGGCTTTTGGGGGGGATTGTACAGTATTTATTCTGTGGTTCTGTAAAGTATCCCAAGTCTGCAAGTTTTAATTCCACATCAATTAAATATATATATATTTCATGTTTCCATAGTTATACCTTGGATAATAGCATCCTCACTCTAGAGCAAAGACGTTTTTATGAGGACAATGGATATCTTCTCATCAAAAATCTGGTGGCTGATGAAGATATTGACAGCTTCGTGTATCCTTAACCCACCTGGCTGAAATCATTCAACCCAGCACCTTGAATGGCTCTTGAGACAAGGGTCTCCAAACTTGCCACTTGAAAACTTGTGGACTTCAACTCCCAGAATTCCTTTAAAACCTATGGACTTCAACTCCCAGAATTCTAGGAGTTGTGGACTACCACTCCCAGAATTCCCTAGTCAGCATGGCTAGCCGAGGAATTCTGGGCGTTGAAGTCCACAAGTCTTAAAAAGTTGCCAAATTTGCTCTAAGAAGTCAATTCGAAGCCATCAGTACTGGTGTCCTTTGACTTCCGGTTCCGGTTTGAGGTGTCACTAGTCTCACGGGGAGACTCGTCTCCTTGTCGGCTAGCTTTCCCTTTTTCGGTGGACCCTTATACGGAGGAGGGTGCGACTTCTGTCGAGGAGGCCCCTGTCCGGCTGCAGAGGAGCGGCGGCTCCTCCAGCTGTCCGGACGATCTCCAGCTGTCCGGACGATCTCCAGCTTCTACCTTTTTTGGGAAGAAAGGCGTTTTATAAATACAGAAAAAGACTTTATTTTATTTTATTTCTATGTATATCTTTCTCTTTGGATACAAAAGGAAAGAAGATGGAAAAGGTTTTCTTTCCTCTCTTTCTTCAAGAACCGCATTAGGTTTTTTTTCTTATATATTATACTTCAAAAAGTACTGGTGTCCTTTGAACACACTGGGAATTGTTCTTAATTAAATAACTCACTGCAATCTGAGTATCTGTAACTCCAGAGGGTAGTTGTTAACTGGCTCATCTGGAGTTGTGCAAAGAGGATGATTTGCTTTTTGTAATTTCTACGGGGAAGTTTTAATCGTATTGCTGTGTGGTTTTTATTATTATTATAATTGTGCCATGATTTTTTACAATAGCAATCCTTAGTGCTTGGTGTACAGCGTGTTGTCTTGGTTCATAATTTTTTTGGAAAAAACATACAATCAGTACTAGTTAATTAACAGTCAATAATAATTATTTTTTATATTTCCATAATTAGTATATCAATCAATAGTATATTTCCTTGATCTTCTTTTCTCCCAGTAGTATTCTCCTTCTTCAGCATTAAACAAATATAATTTTTGATATTTGATATTTTCAATATATAAATGATTAAATATAAACATTTTTTCCATATTTATACCAATAATAGTGTCCATATGTGACATTTTTTTTCTTATCAACATGTTATTTTTGTAAAAATCATCTTATTGATGAGAGAGAGAGAAAGAGAGAGAGAAAGAGAGAAGCACAAGTGCCTCTCTCTCTCTCTCTCTCTCTCTCTCTCTCTCTCTCTCTCTCTCTCTCTCTCTCTCTCTCTCTCTCTCTCTCTCTCTCTCTCTCTCTCTCTCTCTCTCTCTCTCTCTCTCTCTCTCTCTCTCTCTCTGTCTCTCTCTCTCTCTCTCTGCAAATGGTGGAGGAGGCTGGGAGCCACAGGAGAAGGCTCAAAGAGCCACATGCAGCTCCGGAGACGCGGGTTGCCGACCCATGGTATAGGGGTTCCTGCCTGAGCAGGGGGTTGGACTAGAAGACCTCCAAGGTCCCTTCCAGAATAACTCTGCTATTCTGCTTCTTGTCCTGTCCTCAGCTGCTGGGGAGAACAAGTTAATCCCCCCTTTTCTTTGATAGCCCCTCGAGTACTGGAGGACAGTTACCAGGTCACCCCTAGCCCTTCTCTTTGATAGCTAGACATACCTAGCTCCCTCAACCATTCATCGTACAATTTAGCCCCCAGTACCTCTGGAATAATTCCTTTGTGCTTCCCAATTTAAAGTCTTGTGCAGAATGAATGCAAAGGTAGATGCGTTTAGAGGAGTTCTTGATGATGCCAGTTTAAAAAACGCTTTCCGTTGTCTTCTTTAACCCTGTCTTCAGAGAGGAATTTGTAAAGATATGCAGGAAGGAAGTGGAGGTACCTGGGATAACCATCATGAAAGATATCACAATTGCCAAGTCTGTTGCTGATGAGAACACAGTTTCAAAATTGCAGGATTTTACGTGGAACGAAGAACTCTTCAGATATTGTACCTTACCTCAGGTGAAAGCAGGAATTCTCTGAAAGCATAAAACATTTGCCTAAACTTATTTCCTTTTCCTGAGAAGGGCTGGGAAAAAAAAAGTCTTTTAAGTTATCGTTTTAATTGCAATGAACTTTGCATAAGATCTACATCCTAAAACTCAGAATCAGGCTGCTGCAGTGTTTTTCAGCCACCCCCGCCCTCCAGCCACCCCCAAACAATTCTAAAAATGGGATTTTGGCACAAAAGACTGATTTCGCCCAAGATTATTTGTATGTCCAAAATTATTGTTTGTTTGTTGCAAAATTGATGTCCTGCTACCCTGATTCCACAAAAATAGATAATGAAGAGCTAACTTCGGTGGGCTTAAATTTAACAAAAGAGAAAATATATATATAATGTTTCAGCTGCTTTTCGAAACTCATCTATTAGCTCAGGGTAGGCAACCTTGGCTCTTTTACAACTTCGTGGACTTCAACTCCCAGAAGTCCTGAGCCAGCCATGCTGAGGGGAAAGGGAGAGTTTCCAAGCTGAGCCATGCTGGCTCAGGAATTCTGGGAGTTGAAGTCCACACGTCAAAAAAGAGCCAAGGTTGCCTACCCCTGTATTAGTTAAATGCAGGTTGTCCTCAACTTATGACCACAATTTATGTTGTAAAGTGAGAAATTTGCTCAGTGAGTTTTGCCCCGTTTTAACTGCTTTTCTTGCCACACTGGTTAAGTGAATCACTGCAGTTGTTCAGTTCGTAAAACGGTTGTTGAGTTGTTAATCAGGCTTCCCCCATTGCCCTCGTTGGTCCGAAGGTCGCAAAAGGGGATTGCGCGACCCCAGGATACTGCATTATAAATATGAACCAGTTGTCAAGTATCCGAATGTAAATCACATGACCCTGGGGATGCTGCAACGGTCGTAAGTGCGGAAAACGGTCATAAGTCCCTTTTTTTCAGTGCCGTTGTAACTTTGAATGGCCACTAAACAAACTGTTGCAAGTCGAGGCCTACCTATATACCTGTCAGGCCTGTCCCAGCTTGAGCATTTAGGAAAGAAAGACCCTCGACTCCATTTGTAGCGCAAGATATACTTTTACTAAAGTCAAGTGGTTACAGCGTAAGCAAAGCCAGATCCGGAAATTCCCGCCTAAACCCAGATTTTTTTTCCCTTCTCCCAGGCCCTTCCCTCTTGGTCATCTTGTTAGTGTCCAATGAGGTTCAAATTAGTTCTAAAGTGTAGCCTCTTTTTGATGGGCATTCGCATTCCATTCCCATGCCGTTGTCCTTGGGCCATTCAACTGTTGTCTCGGGTTCCTGTCATCCCCCCTGAGGCCTGGTGGCGCAGTGGTTAATAATAATAATAATAATAATTTAATTTATATACCGCCCTTCTCCCGTAGGACTCAGGGCGGTGCACAGCATATTAAAACAGATACAAACAAAATACATCAAAAAACAAAAAAACCCCATAAAACCAAATTAAAAGCCAAATATTGGAAGCTGTGTGTCAATTAAAATTTTCTTAAAATCATCCCTACCTAAAATCCNCCAGAGGGTGGGGGCACCCACAGAGAAGGCCCTCCCCCTGGGGGTCGCCAGCCTACATTGCTTGGCCGACGGCACCCTGAGGAGGCCCGCTCTGTGGGAGCGTACCGGTCTATGGGAGGGAATCTGTGGCAGAAGGCGGTCTCGGAGGTAGCCAGGTCCAATGCCATGGAGCGCTTTAAAGGTGGTAACTAACACCTTAGAATGCAGTACTGCAGGCTACTTCTGCTGCATGCTGACTGCCTGCAGTTTGGCAGTTCGATTCTCATTGGATCAAGATTGACTCAGCCTTCTATTCTATTCTATTCTATTCCATCCCATCCCATCCTGCATTCTGCATTCTATTCTATTCTATTCTATTCTATTCTATTCTATTCTATTCTATTCTATTCTATTCTATTCTATTCTATTCTATTCTATTCTATCCTATCCTATCCTATTCTATTCTATCCTATCCTATTCCATCCCATCCCATCCCATCCCATCCCATCCCATCCCATCCTGCATTCTATTCTATTCTATTCTATTCTATTCTATTCTATTCTATTCTATTCTATCCCATCCCATCCCATCCCATCCCATCCCATCCTGCATTCTATTCTATTCTATTCTATTCTATTCTATTCTATTCTATTCTATTCTATTCTATTCTATTCTAATTCTAATTCTAATTCTAATTCTAATTCTAATTCTAATTCTAATTCTAATTCTAATTTTAATTCTATCCATGGTGGTGCAATGGTTAGAGTGCAGTATTGCAGATTAATTCTGCCGATTGCCAGCAATTCTACCGATTGCCAGCAATTGCCAGCAAGGTTGACTCAGCCTTCCATCCTTCTGAGGTCGGTAAAATGAGGACCCAGATTGTTGGGGGGCAATATCCTGACTCTTTGAACCACTTAGAGAGGGCTGTAAAGCACTATTAAGCAGTATGTAAGTCTAAGTATTATTGCTCCTTCTATTGCTATCCCTTTATCCCCCCCCCCACATTTTATGGCAGGCTGCCATCAAAGTGAAGCAGGGCTGAAGTATTGTGATGGTAGATTTGGCAATACCGCAGGCTATTTTCATACTGCTTCCTGTTTTTATAATATAGTTGCAGGGGCTTCAGCCGGTTTAAATATCTATCATTATTGAGCTAGGGTTTTTTTATCCTTAGATCATAAAATATGTTGAATGCTTCACGGGGCCTGACATCATGGCTATGCACACCATGCTGGTCAATAAACCTCCAGATACAGGTAAGACTTACTAATTAAATAAACACTTAAAAAGAGCTGACAGGCCTTCTTCTGTTAGCTTATATGAATTGCAGCTTTTTCTGCTTGGAGTCTGGAGAGAAAAAAACCCTGTATTTTTCCTTTTTGACATGGATGGCCAGAAGAAGTGCTGATTCCAAAGTAGATAAATAATTCTCTCTCTCTCTCTCTTTTTTTTGCAAGAGAGAAATATGTATTTATTAAACTTAAATGCCGCCCATCTCACCAAGAAGAGCCTCACAACCAAGCAAAAGCTGCACAATAAAATAACGTGAAAATAATAAATATTAACATTAAAATTGACTTTAAATGCCCAAAGCTAGCAAGGAAGGGAGTAGGAAATATGTATAGATAGTCCTCGAGTTACGATTACCATTGAAGTGTTAATACCACTTTACAAGCCTTGGTAAGGCCACACTTGGAATCCTGCGTCCAGTTTTGGTCACCACGATATAAAAAAGATGTTGAGACTCTAGAAAGAGTACAGAGAAGAGCAACAAAGATGATTAGGGGACTGGAGGCTAAAGCATACAAAGAACGGTTGCTGGAATTGGGTATGTCTAGTCTAATGAAGAGAAGGACGAGGGGGGACATGATAGCAGTGTTCCAATATCTCAGGAGCTGCCCCAAAGAAGAGGGAGTCAAGCTCTTCTCCAAAGCACCTGAAGGCAGGACAAGAAGCGACGAATGGAAACTGATCAAGGAGAGAAGCAACCTAGAACTAAGGAGGAATTTCCTGACAGTTAGAACAATTAACCAGTGGAACAACCTGCCTCCAGAAGTGGTGAATGCTCCAACACTGGAAGTTTTTAAGAAGAGACTGGACAGCCATTTGTCTGAAATGGTATAAGGCAGGGGTAGGCAACCTTGGCTCTTTTATGACTCGTGGACTTCAACTCCCAGAATTCCTGAGCCAGCCATGCTGAGGGGAAAGGGAGAGGTTTCCAAGCTGAGCCATGCTGGCTCTGGAATTCTGGGAGTTGAAGTCCACGAGTCATAAAAGAGCCAAGGTTGCCTAACCCCTGGTATAGGGTTTCCTGCCTGAGCAGGGGGTTGGACTAGAAGACCTCCAAGGTCCCTTCCAACTCTGTTCTAATTCTAATTCCTGTTGCTAAGCAAAGCAGTTGTTAAGTGAGATTTGCCCCATTTTACGACCTTCCTTTCCACAGTTGTTAAGTGAACCATGGCTGTGGTTAAGTTAGTGACACGGTTGTTAAGTGAACCAGGCTTCCCCCATTGACTTTGCTTGTCCGAAAGTCACAAACGGGGATCACGTGACCCAGAGACACTACGACCGTCATAAGTACTTGTGAATTGCTGAGTGCTGAAATATGGATCACATGACCATGGGGGGGGGGGGAGGCTGCCACGGATGTAAGTGTGAAAACCAGCCCTGTTTTCAGTGATGTTGTAACTTTGACCCATCATTAAATGAATGGTTGCAAGTCAAGGACCACCTGGACTGGACCTCAATTGCCTTGTTAGCATATAGTATTAATCCCTGAGGGGTCCTTAGTGCAATCTGAGTTTGGTGATTTTCTTGCAGATGTTTCGTTACCCAAACGAGGTAACATCATCAGTGCTCTAGATGTGTCGCACTGATGATGTTCCCTAGTTGGGTAATGAAACGTCTGGAAGAAAGCCACACAGCTCAGAGACCACCAAGGACCGCCCCCCAGTCCTCCTCCTCCTCCTCCTCCTCCTCCTCCTCCTCCTCCTCCTCC